TTCCAATCACCCATATCACATGGATCATATAAATACATCCTCATCTAAGTTGAACCATAAAAAAAAAGGAAACCAAATTTTCAGCAACAATATGTGAAATTACTTCATTGTCAAAGGATACTAAGATAATTGAATTATGCTAATTCATAACCCTAATTTTCTTTTCTTTTTTCATTTCCCCAAATGCATTTTTTTTTATTCTTTTCTTCATCAGTACATAATATACTCAGTACAAAACCATGTCTATATCATGTGACATGTGCATCAACTTTTAATCATAATACTACATATTAACATGTACTATGAAAATTTTAATTATTTTTATTAATAGGATTAATTATATATTATTTCCTATAATTAGTTATCCTCAACATATCACTCTGTATATTTTCAAAAGTTACATTAATATCTCTATACTTACGAAAGTGAAACATTTAGTCTTGTTTTTCCTCACGTCATGATTTTGTTGATAGAAACATTTAGTCATAGGATTTATCATTGATCACGTGTAGCATTTTCGTCAATAGAGTCAACGACTTGAAGAGAAATAAAATTAAATATTTTACTTTCATAAGTATAAAAATTTTAATATAATTTTTGAAAATATAGAGATCATAATACTAAAGGGGATAATATATAATGAGCCCCAATAAGCAATGTGATCAAAGTCGATGATTGTTCTTATGAGATGAGCAATTCCTAAGAGAATTGAAGTGGGAATGAGAAGAACAAAGTTGTGCTTAGCATCATGTGGTCCATTCCAAGAACAACAGGAACAAATGCCAACCTTTCTTTGTGTTGCAGTACTGCTACTATACAATATTCGAAGAGTATTTGATCCTTATCCTTTCATGCATGACCTTTAACCCTATTCTGCTGACCTGGTTTCCACGAAGCTTCGCTCTTACTCTTCTTCTTCTTCTTCTTCTTCTTCATTCTCGGTGGTGGCTGTAAACATCTTGCCGACGTCCGTTCGCGGCATGGAACGGATTGCGACGTGGAAACAGTGGGTTTCGGTGCGAGGTTTGATGATATGTATCCTTTTGTAAGCTAATGTGTTCTTACTCGGTTGCTTCTGCGCTTTGGCATGAGATGATGGAGATATGGATGACCGATTCCAGCAAAAAGAAGAGCACAGATCTGAGAAGGAAAAAGGAGCAAAGAGTTGGAAGCAAACCGGAGAGATTAACTAAAGGCAAAAGAAAAGCAGCAGCATGTTATATTGGGTTTGGAGTTTAAGCTTCTTTTTGGTAGGATCGAATTGTAGAATATTATGATGGAAGAAAATAATCTTCACCAATAAAAAAAAAACTCTAATTTTATAGATCAACATAGCTTAGAAAAGCTTGATTCGACTTAATAGTTCAACAATGCCTCTTAACTTGGAAATAGGTCGCAATTTGCGACGGAAGATAAATCCACAAGCTAAGTATTACGATATCTCGATAATTTGGAACCGGAACTAACCTAACCTAACTTATGCAATCAGATTTTCTCCAATTCACTGTAGACTCCACTAGCTTGAACTTTTTCGACATGATCGTAAAGTCGCTTTTCAGATACATCGCTATTAAATAAAAACGATAAGATCCTTATCAAAATAGGGAATATTTTCTATAATGATATGAATATTTTTGAGAATTTTCTCTAATCCAATTCATTTTCGAATCTTATCCTAAACTTAATCTCTCTATTGTCATAGTTTGAATTGTGGCTCCAAGGAGGCCCCTAATGCCCTCTATACGAAAGAGTTGATGATCGAGAAAAAAAAAAAAGGATCATATGAACGAAGATCAAAATCTAATATCATAACTAAACTTTTAGACGTAGGAAAACTAGTCCATAAGAACTAAAAAAAGAAAAAAGAGTTGCAAACTCTTTAATTTCTTTAATCATTTCACTTCTTATAGGTTTACTGACATATGGATTGCTCGCCGTCTCCATAGAGTCGACGGCTTGACGTCAAATGATTCGGAGAACAGAGCAGGAGGTATTGCAGCTGTGACAAAAGTCAGAGGTAGAACAGATGCTGCTTGGAATACGTCAATGGCCTGTCCCTTTCAACCTTAGTGGCTTGAACAAGGTAGTCCTTCCATCTCAAGTTCGAAAGTACATTATCCTTCTTCTTCTTCTTCTTCTTCTTCTTCTTCTTCTTTGGTTTCGTCTACGTGCACGTTTGGTGATTAATCTTCTTATAGCTCTAACTAATCCTCTGTAAGTTATCCTTAACAGGTAAATCAATATACGCAATCTTACCTTTACGAGCAAACGGATATTGGATTGGTGGAAGAAAGCTTCACAAGTCATTCTCTCTTTGTGATCGACTACTTCGGAGCACTTTTGACGAGGAATTCGGCCACTGACACAAAGCAAGCTTGGAATTGGTTGCTTTATTGACTGGCTGCAGGAAGTGCATGTCAAATATCCCCATTGTCAGAGCTCTTGTGAAAGGAGTTCTTGACCAATGCCTAACGTGAGATATGGATCTTACGAAGCATACATGATGGTTTGTCTGCATAAATATAAACAAAAAAAAAAGTAGAGCATTATTAGCTTTATATGTTTTGTCACGCATAACAAATTCATACGCGTAAGTTTATTATTGTTGATTCAAATTTTGATTGTCCGAAATCAAAGTGGAGTCCCTTCTTGTCAATCTCAAGTTAGCTTCGCTCGACATAAAGATCGTCTGAATCTAAATGTGTCGAATTTGTAAACGAAGTCGAAGACGTTCTCAACCAATGTCCCTCCGATGCTTAAATCAACTTAGGATTCGAATAGTTTGAACAAATTTTCAAGATATGTTTCGCCTCTTTCATGATGGACTTTGAGGACAATTACACCCGAGATAGGACAATTACACCCGAGATCATCGACGACGGATATAAGGTGCAATTATGCATTGCTTCTAGACTTAATTGAGGTTGCCATTTCAAGATGTGTCCAATTGGAGACATGTATTAATTGATCTTACTTGGTCACGATGTCGAGGTGTCAACTGAAGTGTTAGCCACGTGTTGCCTATGTGTTTGCACTATGCTATCAGTTAGCACCTACCACCCATATATGAAATACTATGCATATACAAATAATATACAAGTGATACCATCCTTAATTGATATATAAAAATTATAATTAAGTCTCTAAGATAGATATGCATAAAATAAAGTTCTTAAGTTGATGATATGGATCTTGATATAATATAGTTTCAGGAACAAAAGAATGAATAATATCTCACTTCTTAGGTTGATGATATGGATCTTAATATAATATAGTTTCAGGAACAAAAGGATGAATAATATCTCACTTTTCATATGATTAAAAGGAGTTCTCAGGGTCAAAATCTCACTATTAGTTGGTTGAAGACAACCTCATCAAAAGTGAAAAAAGATTTGTCTTATGGGATAGAGGATTCCTCCCATTGCCTCCATTCATACCATGGGTAATACACAAGCTGATAATCTCAATCAACAGCAAAGTAATCAATACTTTGGAAGCTAAAATTCTTTGGTTTGAAAGAAACAGAAATAGGGGAAAGATACCTAAAATTCTCTCTTCCTACTTGACTCCTAGCATCTGAAATCCCAATTGACAAATTTCTTATAAATCAGCTCGATTTTCAATTTAAACATAGATAAGTACAACCTAAAAGAAGAAATAATATGGATACAAAAGAAGGGCACTACACCTAAATTTGTGCTTTGCATGTCTGCTTATTATGCCCTAACCCTTGGCACCTGCTGCAGCGAACTGCTCTTTTAATTATAATCCTTGGTTCTGCGGGCTTTTCTTTCGGTCGGCCTGCCAGCCGGCGGGTACGAGGAGGGCATGTAGTTGCAGCATGGAAAGAATCAGCACAGACCGGCCCACCGACGTCAGGTATGGGATTGATGGACAATGAATATGCCTGCTGGTAGCATTCTGTCATGAGGTACTTGGAACAGTAATCATATATGCATCCATTCATGCGTTCGAGCACAGCAAGAGCATGCATGCAAGGTAAGCCCGTAACCTGCCACCTTCGGCATGTGCATTCCCTAGTCTCGATGTTTATGACATTGGTCGACTCATCGCTTACCTCAAACACACTGTCACTGGAACAAGCCACACTCAGGGAGCGCGCTTTGATCATCTCCTCTTGTACCTTCTGATTGGCAGAAGGTACCAGCACCTCAGTCCATGTGTTTGAAGACTCACGACGGCTGTACATCATCTCCATCAACTTACACCTTAGGATGTCAACTATCTGAAGCACCGATGGCTCGTATCTTGTTGATACCCAGTCATTGAATATCTCCGCAGCACCAGACGAGTAATGCCCATATCTCAAACCCTTGAAGAAGGCATCAGACCAGAATTCCGGTTCCATACCCAAAACCCATTCAGCAAGTTCTTTGGACTGAATCCTGAGGTTTTCAATGGATTCATTGAACTCATCAACTTTACAAGCACATATGGCTCTTTTAAGATGACCAACCATTTTATTCTTCAGTTCCTGTGTCCAGGACTCGTCCATCTCTTTCTTAAAATTTTCAATCAGTTGTTGTTCGCTGTACCCATGAAAACTGTCCTCAAATACCTCAGGTAACTCCTCCAAACCATTTTGACTGCTAGAAACAAAGGTGATGGCACGAGACAGAGTAAAGGCAGATTTCAGCTGTACCAAAAACCAATGCCAGTTCTCACTAGCCTCAGAATCTAGGACACAGAATGCAACTGGGTAGATATCATTCTGGCCATCAACTGCAGTTGCAGCCAATAACTTCCATTGTTTATTTGCTTTCAGAGATAAACCATCAAGAAAAAGGAGGGGGCGGCAACCATGCTCAAACCCATAAAGTGAGGCATGAAAGGTGACAAAGAAACAAAATTTAGAATCATCTGATGTATGTAATGTTGCAACACTACCTGGATTGGTCTCTATTATCCTCTCGCAGAACCAGGACAACTGACTGAAAGCCTCTTCATGCGAGTTGTGAAGCTCTTTCTTGGCAATAAATTTTCCACGCCAAGCTTGTGAGTAGTTCAAGCTGAGTCCATATTCTTGTTGGAGATCTTTTGCAATATCCTTTGGCCTATAGTTTGGTGTGTCTCGCAACTTGTCCTTAATAATACTAGCAACCCATCTTTGAGACGCAAGCCGACGACTTTCTTTACTGAGTTCCTTTCCACATGTATGAATGTCATTCATCTTCTTAATCATAAATTTCTGCTTGGCTGATGACCTGGATGCATGTATTCTCCACGGACAATCCTCGACAGTACATTCAGCAGTTACACGAGATCCGTCATTTTTAATGAATCTATACATGAAGCTATTTGCAATGGCATATTTGTGCAATGCATCGCGAAAAGCCTTTGGACTAGAGAATACCTGCCCTACACCAGTGATCATACTGTCCCAATTGATGCATAATTTCTGCCGTTTAGCTTCCTCAAGGGTAGCTACTGAGGCAGTATTGGCGTCAGTGGAGGTACCAGAGTCAGCTACAACACTCCTAATTATCCTACAAAAAGCATTTATAGTAATTTTTCTTCTATTTGAGCATCATTTGTGATAAAAACCACTGAGTATATGGCAAATACCTGCTTTCAACCTTCTTTGTGACAAATATATCAGTTGTATCTGAATCTGCATGAAAATCAACCATGCGCTGCAAGTCCTTGTCGTTAGATATCGTGATGAGAGTCCGTTTGTTTCTTGGAAGGAAGTACTTAATTGAAAATGTATCAGCATTGAAGTTAAACATAGCAGATATCTCTGACCTCAAATCACTGAGTGACATTTCACAGTTAATGTCAATTGCATGTGCTTCACCACCAGAGTAAGACATGGATCCATCACTGTTTGTAATAAATTCTCCACCAGATTGGCAAATAGCTAATATTTTCCCTCTTGCCATGGTATAAAAAAATTCTTTAAGTTACCTCATGAATCTGGGATAATGATGAGAGGAAAAACGGTCATATAATATGACTGTAAGTTAATGATGAGAAGAAAAGAAAATTTTAATGAAAATATGCATAAAGATAATGTTGTTTTCAAGTCCTGGCATATTAGATTAATATATCTCGGTTACAAAGTTCAAATTAAAGCAATAAATCACTTGCAAGCATCATTGAGGAAAAAGTACATACAAGTTGTTCAATACAAACTGCACTCAGCACAGTAGACCAGTGTAAACCTTGAAAGACTAGCAAAAGGTCAACTCTGTATGAGTAATTCTTAAGAGTCAAAATCTGATATCCCTTCTTCTGATGTCATTGACCTTTTAATTAATATCTTCCTTGTTCAAGATTGTTTGCACTAGATTCTAAATTATTCTTTTGAAAAATAAATATCGTCTGTGAAAATTGACAAATTTTGTTTTTTTTTTTTTTTGCCAGTTCTTACTGAAGCAAATATACTATATTTTGGTTAGCAGCACACAAAACTATTTGTTCTGAAATGACATTTATGTTTCTTTGGCTAGATCACTCGAAATATGCTCTAAAAAAACTGCAACTACAATTTGATTTCAGAAAGGCTGGGTAACGATAATCTCCCGACTCTTGTGAGCTCCTTCAATCCTCTATCAAAACTTTGTAACATATTCTTTGGTCTAGAATCAAATTAGGCTTTTAGCTTAAGCTCCTTCTCCTTAGATTACATTACTTAAAAATAAAGGTTGGGAGTTGAGACGGAAAATCTGACAACCTATAATAACTTTTCTTCATTGATTTAGCTGTCACTTATGTTTACTAGACAGCCTCCGATGGAACGAACATAATGATTTTAGCAAAAATCCATCAAATTGAGATAAAAGTCCCAAAAATGAATCCTACTTTAGGAAAACTTTCTCAAATCCATTCCAATCGTCTTCAAACACAAGCCTTGATGGAGAATTATTGAGTCATTTCAAATCTCTCTATCATTCAATTTCCATACAAAAATCAATATAAAGGATAGTTTTCATGCACTAAAAAACTTCTAGATCAGTTTGCTTTAATATATCTTGCATAGCCCTATTGTTATTCATCACTTGACAAAATCAACCTATCTTTTAAAACATAGTATCATATACCTACTAATATTATTCCAACACCAGATTTATCGACATTTCGTACTCGTTTGAGATTTAAGTTTGCGCAGAGCTTATTTTATTATATTTCTACACGTTTGAACATCTCATTAAAATCAAATATTAAATTTGCCTATATGATTATTCTCTGAAGATTTTAGACATCTTGAGCATCATTGACTTTTCAACTTTCTTAATTTTTCTTTTTTCCTATTATAAATATAAGCAACAGTTTATTATCTGCATTAGAAAGTCATTGTCATAAAAGATTCAGAAATTATAATAATCCCACATAAAGATAATTTTCAAATAATTGAAATGTCTGCCAATGCAGGCTTAACTATTGAACTTCTCAATACAGTGTCTCCTAGAGCCCTCTTCTGTCATGTATTCTCTCATTATGTACAACTAGTAACATATACACCATATGCAACATATTCAAATACTGTGTGCCCATAAATTAGTCCACAATTTCTCATTCTTAACCATTTTCTTTTATATATTTATCTACACTTCTATAACTTATCAATTGCTAACATCTGAACCTCAAATAGCAACTAACCAATTAGCAAAGCATTAACAACGTCATTCATGCCTTAAAAAACCCTTCAAGAAAATTATAATTTGTATCTTTAGTTATTCAAGAAAGTATATTCTCCCCAATAAAAAATGCTCACAAAAATACGTCCCTTAGGAATTATAAAACGATGTTTGCAGAAAACGGAGACTTGAATACTGTTACATTTAGGAAGTAAGGCCAAATCAGATGCAACCGGATCGCAAGCAAAAGGAAACAAGCAACCCGCGACAGAATTCAGAAGAATTTGATAGGTCTCGTCACCAGAGCTATCAGGGAATCGCTAACCAAGAAAGGGAGATTCAAGACAGAAATATTGTACCTGGTGTTCCTCGATCAATCCTAGTTCAGTAAATTCTAAGAAATCGCAAAAAAAAATCTAGGTAAAACCAATATAGCTTCCGAATCAAAAGTAAAACCAGACTATCAAGATTCAGTAGCTAAATTCAAATTTAATCCGTCACCCCAGAATCGTCATCAAGCCCAAAATATTCGATTTCAGCAAAAATAATCGGTGCGGGGAAAAAAAAGGTAAGAACTTTAGGAATCGGAACCTGGAAACCATAACATTCTCTTCGGTGAAGCTTACAATCGCAAGCCTGAACGGCCGATGGAGGAGTCTCTGTCGAGATTTCTAGGGTTTCGAATCCCTCACCCAAAAGACGAGACAAAAGACAAAAGAAATCCGAAGAAATCGGTGAAGAGGGAGAATTGGGGTTTTAGGGACGAGACGCTCCGGTCCGAAACGGTCATCTTGATGGAGCACAAAACTAAGCCTATTTTGCATTATATATATATATATATATGTATATATAGATATACATATGTATATATATGTATATATATATACATATACATATGTATACCTTTAGAAGATAACGGGCACTATATCGTGTTACAAACTGTTACGACAGTCGTCATATACTGGATTGTATGGGATTTTGAGAGATGAAGGTTTATAACGGTTTTGTATGCCGGGACCCGACCCGTAATACGGAACGAGCCCAATAATATCTAAGGAGCTCAACCGAACCCGATCCGACTGGCGCATCCGCGTCATAGAACCCGGTAAGGGTATAATTGTAATTTAATAATTCTTTTAAAAGGTTATATTGGAGTCGGCGCTCTTGTCTGCCTTCGGAAAGAGACGACGGTGGTCGACTCACTCGAAGCAGCTCTCAGTCTGACAGGTGTTGCCATGGCGCTTCGAGCCCTCTTCACCAAGACAGCCCCAACCCTAGCTTCCGGCCTCGGTCCCTTCGCCTCCGCCGGAGGCAGTGGGACGAGGTGGCAGGGGCTCTGCCACGCCCGGGGGCTCAAGGTCGCGGCGCTTCCGGACCTCGAGTACGACTACGGTGCCCTCGAGCCGGCCATCAGCGGGGAGATCATGCGGCTTCACCACCAGAAGCACCACAAGGCCTACGTCTCCAACTACAACGACGCCCTGGAGAAGCTCGACGCGGCCATGGCGAAGGGGGATGTCCCCGCTGTGGTCCGTCTGCAGAGCGCCATCAAGTTCAACGGCGGAGGTTCGAACTCGGTCGTTGGTCGTTTTTTCCTCCCTGGTGAATTTTGTTGTTCCTGTAACAATTGTGGGTAAAAAAACAATTTTTGTGCCTGTTTCAGTTGGTGTTAGGGCTTTGTGATTCTTATGTTAGTACATTCTTTTCTCGATTCGGCATGTAGAGATTGGGGATATGTAAGTTCTGAAGGATCTACTGGACGTAGTTTCTCTTAGATTGTATGCCCTGAATACTGAATCAGAAGTCTAAAGTGTACATAAAGATAGGTCAAATTTCTTAAAAATGTTCACATATAATCTGAAAACTAAAATTACATTTGTATTGAGTAATCACAATGCAATTGTAGTTGTCTTTTGCTTTTCTTTCCGTGGCATATCTTCAATAAGGAAATTGGAAATGGAGGTTGGTTCTAGTCTTTTATCATTTATGTCATAGTAGAAAGTGTAAGAAGGATGTGGGTTTTGGTATATGCTAGCTATTTCAACAAGTTTAGTCTCATAAACTCTGCAGGCCATATCAACCACACAATCTTCTGGAAAAATCTCAAGCCTGTCAATGTAAGTGTGTTTATCCACCTGTTTTGTCATCAGCTTGTTAGCTGGATCAATTTGGCCCTGTTTTTTGTGTATTTTGTAAAAGGAAGAGCCTTACAGGAAGGTGGTGGCGAGCCTCCTCATGCCACACTAGGTTGGGCAATTGACACAGACTTTGGTTCCTTGGAGGCTCTGGTGCAGAAAATGAATGCAGAAGGTGCTGCCTTACAGGGATCTGGATGGGTGGTCAGTGTGACAAACGCATACATTAAGAAGTTTGTTGTTATACATAATCAACACTTATGATCTTCCTTTTGCTGAACCTGCGCTCCACGCCTTCTTCTTGCTTTCTGACAGTGGTTAGCTCTAGATAAGGAGAGGAAGAAGCTCCTGGTTGAAGCCACTGCAAATCAGGTATTCACTTTATCTAATCCTATTGATGCCATTGAGTTTGATGAATAGTATTGAAGTTGTCATATACCATGTATAATTCTTACCAACTTAAACTTAAGTTCCATGGCCTCCTGTGCCATCCAGCCTTCTGATTAGCAGCCTGTTGTTGTGGTGTCTGTTTTAGTTACAGGTATAAACAGAGGAATAGAAGTTACAGGTATTAACTATTTGCACATGCCTGCCTTTAACCTCAAATTATTTTTTCATTTATGAATTTCTGCTTCAAAAATTACATTATTAGTGAACATGAATTAGTTGCAAAACTTGCTCATGTTTTACTAACTGGAAGTAACTGTTTTCTATCATTAGATTGTTGTCTTTGATTGCTGTTGTCTCAACTGCAAATTCAACTGGTAACTGATGTTTTCACAGGATCCACTAGTGACCAAAGGCGCAAACCTAGTTCCTCTGCTAGGTATCGATGTGTGGGAGCATGCATACTACCTGCAGGTAAATGTTGTCTCTCCGGATGTCACTTGTAATGACAAGATTATATTTCATCATAGATGCATGAAGGGATAGATACACAATGATGAACTTGAATAGATATAGATGTAATATATGCATATACTTGTTGGATATGCCTCTTGGTTTGCTAGCCCATGAGTAGTAATCCTCTTTTTTAGCTGGTTTGCAGCTAGTGGGCTTCATATACAGGGCATGGTAACCAAAATTGTAGACAAGTAAAGTAAAGAAAACTCTTGGAGAGGGTATGCATCATGACAAAGTTTTCAACATGAGAGGACTAAGACACAATGTTTGGTCTTTTCCTCGGCCCTCTCTTCTACATGGACTTTTTAGAGGTCGCAATCTCTTTTATTGTGAGTGGGTTAGAATGGAAGTGGAAGCTTGTTATTTTTTTCGTCATGTACTCCATCTTCTCAAAACCAGCATGAGTTCGTCACAATCAGTGGAGTTGTTTGAGCCAGTCCCAGAACAAGATGATTCTTAATTAGATTAGGATAGCTAAATCTCAAACCATATTTGGTATTATCCCTGGGGAATGCAAGGTTGTGGTTGAAGAACTGCTGTCGAATTACAGAGGCCTCATGAAATTGACTTCGGAAGTTTTTGCAGGTTGGGGAATTATGTGTACGTAAATGCAGGGATACTCTTTTATCTTATAAATGGTTACAGTTGATGGAGTTCCTAAATTATAATTATCGGATGGTAGTCATCCTGGACTATGATTGGATCTAAGTTCGAAAATGTGGTTTACCTCCTTAAATAGCTATTCTAAAAGGTGGATGAATGTTGGCAGTTCCTGGTTGGTGCCTAGACGGCTATCAAGTGTCACATGTGGTATTTTCTGTATGTTACTATTAACAGCGTTAGAAGGCTTTTCAATTGATTTGTGCCATTCGGTTTTTTAAACTGTTCTCTCTTTATATTATCCTATGCTCCAGGTAGTTCATGACAGGTTGTCGACATTTACACCTCACGCAAACTTTGATTACAGTACTTGTTGGCGATATAGTAGACTTAAGTGTCCTAAAATTGTGCGTAGTTCATACTGGACATATAGTGAATCCAAGATTGATTTAAGATTCTGTGCTATTTGCTATTGACATGTAAGTTCCATATGTATTACCTGTTGAACCTTTGTTTGTGTTTTTGGATGCTTAACAGTATAAAAATGTGAAGCCAGAGTATCTGAAGAACATTTGGAGTGTTATGAACTGGAAATATGCCAGTGAAGTTTACGACAGCGAGATCGCTTGATGGAGATGTTGTATTGTAAGTTCTCTAGTGAGATCCTCTACTGTGTTAAAATAAGATGGATCTTTGCTAGCTTGATGCTGTTTCCCTTTCTAATGTATCTACACCATCAGTACCTGGGTTTTATGTATCATATCTACTTCTTTCAATAAAACACATGAGCAGTAATCCTACCAAGAAAGATAGTGCAAACGAAAAGAAAAAAAATAGAAAAAGATGATTTAATGTGCAATAAATCCTGTAGAGAGGGGAGAGGAAGAAAAGTGAGCATAATTAAATTGGCAAAATGGTATGCTTTCCAGAACTCTACTGCTGTGAAGAAAACCAAACTGACTTCTACTTGTCAATCTTCCTTGTTTGTCTTCTCATTTATCACCTGCATCAAATTCTCTCTAGTTCATATACTGCTTTCCATTGTTTGGGCATGAGACAAGAAGAAACTTGTCTCTTGTTGGCTCATACTATCTCAAACCTTTACTCCATCCATGACTTGCTTACTGAACAGAACAAATAATTAGATTCTTTGTTGCCACAGATTTTGTGTTTTCAGAGTAGAAATCATGCTAAATGGAACTGCAAAACTTCACCAAAATGTTTGACTTGCTGACATAGCTGACACACAACTCATCAAATTGAGCAATCCTACTACTCATACTTATCTAAACAGCCACCAAAAAACAAAGGAACAGAGAAAAGACAACCAAACTCAATTTCTTGGGTATCAAGCAAGCATTTAAATCACAAACCTATCAGTGCATGCTTGCTTCATGTAAATAGCAAATTCCCATGAAGACAATAACACCTAATTGTATCACAAAGCTTAAACATGTATAACATGTAAAATTCTTCCAACCAGTATGCATAATACAAATAGACAGAAACTTGTCTTTGACCATGTTTTGCTGAACTGTATCAAGAAATGCCAAATCTATACATCTTTGAATCCTAGAAAAAGAAAATGAAAATAATGAATTTGTGCTGTTTATGTTCTTCCCCATGAAAACTATATCAAGGAATGCCAAATTATATGTACATATCTACACACACGATTCTTCTTCTTCTTCCTCCTCCACTTAATTATTGCCGCCGTTGATGCCACCGATCGGACCTGACGGCGGCACAGGTCCTCGAGGGAGCATGGCGAAGATCAGCGGCGTGCCGTACGTCACCTCGAGCTTCTGCTTCCGACTCGGGCCAACGCCGGTGGCCATCGTCTCCTTTGGTCCAACGAGGGAGCTTTCTTTTGGTAACCCGACGGCGAGACCTCGGGTTGCCGTAGACCGAGGAAGCGAGAGGCAGAAGAAGAGGAGGAGAGAAACAAACAGGATAGCTGTTGTCTTGGCAGCCATGGCGGAGAGAAAGAAGCACAAAAGCTGAGAGATGGATCGAAGAACTGCTTCCGTTGTTAGTCCTAAAAGCAACGCCGGAAGGGTTAGTAGTAGTAGTTATTATGCAGGAATTCGATTGGGTGGCATCGGAGAACATAACGTGGAAAGTTCCTCCTGTTGACTTTTTTGCATAGTCGACTCAAAGGCTCGGGTTGACTTCGCAGCCATACGTCCATGCGACTAATTTAGTGTCGAGCGACACCGCCGGACGGCAGAGTCTTCCGCTTCGAGAGGTATTCATTGATCGAGTCGATAAAGGACGCACTAAATCTCCCGATTGGATCGCGGTTGGTGAGGTCAACCAAGAGAAGAGGGCCTGCCAACTCCCACCAAACACGAGATCTTCCTAGTACTGGGAGTCTTGGAGAGAAAGCAAAAGCCTCTTCCGAGGCGGCGAGGCTTTGACTTTGGTTTCGCCTCTTTGACACGTAACCAAGAAATCCATGGCTTGTGATGCAAGTTGTGTGTGCATTGGCTTGCTCGACTGTATGAGATGCGTCATGCAGCTGACTAAACATGTAGCTTCCGAGTGAGATCGAAATATAATTATTGTGGTCTCAATTAATTAGGTTTTTGGGAAAGAAAGATTTGATCGTAGAGATCTTTACCTAATAGTAGCTCGCTACGTCACAACACAATTAGGACAGGGAATGGAGTTCAACCAACAATTTGGTCACCAAAACTAAACCATAATAAAGAATCTAAGAAGAATTTTTGTCTGAAATATTTTTTTTGGAGTCTAAGTTTACTTTAAAACCTATCCATTTATCGTCATTACCATTCATATTTGACTCTACTTTTCACCTCAAGACTAACTTGGATATCATACAGATAGATATATCGTCATACACCTGAGTTACACGTAGTCTTGAATTGAATGAATAAAAGCATAAGAGGTCTTTGCTCTTCTATCAAAGACAAAATTAAGGTCTTATAATTACAAATATCATCCACTATCTTCTAAGACGTCTTTTGATACTTATCTTAAAAAGAAAAAAAATCATATAGGCACACTGGAAACAGATAAATCCTGACAAATTTATATACTTATGCTTATAAATTATGACTCGTTAGAATGATAATTTTCAATTGATTTTTTAGTTAATCTGTTGCCTCATAACATCACAAATGTCAAGGTAAATTATATATTATCCCTTGTAATTAGACCCTATTAACATCGTGATTTTATATTTATAAATAATCTCATTTATCCTAACATCGTCGGCTGTATTGATTATAAACACATCACACGTTAAATCGATACTCATGAACAAATAGATAATTTTGACATCCCTTTTATTTCTAACGATTTTATAGAAAAAAATAATTTCAACATCACTTTTTACCCATCACTTCCTTATCGATCCAATATGTAGTGCAACGTATTATATTTTTTCATCAATATAGCTAACGATGTTAGGGTAAATAGAATTTTTTGTTTCACTTTCATAATTAAAAAAAACTTAATATAATTATTTTTAATATAATATATTAAATATTAAAAGGGTATAAATATATGAGGTAATAGGCAATGAAATTATTTTTGATTGTCGAGCCAAACCGGGCCGGTCGGACGGATGTGGCTCGGCCCATCGATCGTTGTCACCGGTATCGAAGTTGCAGTTAAAGCGTCCGATACTTGCGGTGACTCCGCACGTCAATCGCACGCGTTGGGAGACGCGAAACTAAAGCTAGCCGTCGAATCCATCACCGCCGCCCCCCGCCGCCGCCTTACGGTGACTCCGCCCGGATCGAGGCGCGCGTACGGTGGATTCCACTCGACGTCGTAACGAGGCCAGAAGACGACGGTTCCCGTCGTGCGTATAACGGGGGGCCAAAGCCAGAAGCGGAGCAGGCGCAGAGCTCCGAGAGAGCTCACTAGTAATTACTTTCTTCCCAACGCTTTCTCTCATCTCTGTTCTTCTTCTTCTTTTCGTCTTTTTCTTCATCTCTTTATCTTGTTTCTCTTGCTTCGCTTCATGCAGTCGTGGCTTTCTTCTTTCCTTCTACAAAAACCTTCTTGAATCGATTTGCGACTTTGAAGCTTTTCTTTGGGTGCATTTACTTGCTCATCTCTTACTAGGTGTTCATTGGAGATTTATTGCTTGATGAAGTTATGTTAACATGCTACTATATATGATGACGATGATGTCCTCTGCACATTTGCTGAATTTTGGGTAAATTTTCAGAATAAATGCAAGACTCGAACTTTGATGGAGACTGAATTAAGCGAGCCTGACATATGGGGAAGCATTTCATCAGAGGTGTGTTTGTGGAAGTCATCTTTGATTATTATTTGTTTTTCCAAGAATGTATAACTACATGAAAAATTAACCAAAAGAAAATAAAATAAAAACAGAAGAAATGTACAGAAAGAGAGCAATCTATCACATAATTTGTTTTCAGATTCTTGCCTCTACGACATCCATTCGATTTCTTCCTCAGAAGCTACAATATGTGGTTCAAGAAGAAAGAGCAAATGCAGCTTGCCAGAAAATTCTACTGAAGATGGTGATGATGTGTCTGAGGTATTTCAAAGATTCAGCTTAAATTTGGTAAAGAACTGACAAATCATGCAGCATCCAGATATCTATTTACATAGCAAAAAGGAATCAGTACATCTTAGTGTCTGGTTTGTATTTTCATGTTAGTAAGTAGTCACTAGATCTCTGGCCAAAGCAAACTCTGGTTGGATTACCAGTTGTAAGTCTCATGTAGTCACTTGTTTTTATCTTTAGCTTACTATGTCTCATCATGTTTTAGCTATATAATTATTTCAATAATCAATATTGAAACACATGCATGAAAGCTATACGGTGCCTATTTAGTGTCATGTATAGTTTTCAGTATCAACTAAATTCTAGATTGGTACAGTGTTTGCGTTCGATAATCTACTAAAGTATTCATCTAATTTCTGATCATCCATAGGCCAGTCTGCTAAATGGTTTATCCTGGTTATCACTTTGAAAGGTCAATCCACAAAAATTGTCACAGGATGCACACTGGTTTATCTGTCTATTCTCTCTGCAAAATGACAGCAAAGAATCCTGCATCCCCCAGCTTACTCTGTGTCATAGCTTGAACAGGATGCTTATCATTCCATCTCTAATTACCAGTCATGTTTATGACCATTTTCTGTTAGAATCAAGCACTGAAATCTTGCTTTCTTGATCAGAGGCTCAGTTTCCTAGTTTCTCCAGAGGCTGTGTTTTTTTTTGGGGGGGTATCTAATCAGTATATCCTTCTTGATCAATCATTTATGTCTCTACTATGTTCAGAAATTATTGATGTTTAGGCTGCAAAGTATCTGAAACCATGGAATGTTTGATCTGATCCACATATATGTATCATTTCTTCTGTTGTCTTAACTTGCTAGCTTGAACAATGTTGTTTCAGTTAATCCGAGCAATTTGCTTTGTGTCTTGAAAGACTACCTTGGATTTCAGGTGTTGCATTCTTATGATGAATGGGCATGTAATCATCACAGACAGCGGCGGTGGTTTGAGCTCATTAGTAGGTCTAAATTGTAGAACATGAGTTGGAACAGACTTGGTCAGAAACGAAACCAAGTAGCAGAATTGTGTTACTACTTTGAAAGGCAAGTCATTTGGCTATTGTAAGAATTAGATATGATCATTTTGGCAAAAACTTCCGCCAACAAACTGATGTTAGTGATTGGCAGCATGTATCATACAATCTAGTTTAAGAAAAGAAGAAGATTTGCAGGTTTTGTCAATCCTCTGCTCTCGTTGAACTGGATCTGTTGAGACTTGAGATCTTCTTTCCTGGCAAGGAGACCAGAGTTGTCTTAGAAACTGCATTACATGTTCCAGTGGCACAGATCTTAGGCAATCCCTCTATGATCTTGAGAAATCTAATGAACCTGTTCACATACTAGAAATTTTTCCGACATGTGAAAGATATAACCTGTCGATACTTTTATGCCATTTCTAAGGTGCTCAATCTCCAGCTAATGAATCACCGAAATATTTTTTTCTTCTTAAACTTAAATCTTCTATTTCTTTGAATAGTTCATGGAATTTGAATCATTCCCAATATAGATTTCTTGCTGCAAATCTTTGGCAATATGCCAGTATTCTTGCATCTGCTTGTAGCTATTTTATGCCACTAATCAAGCTCTATGGATATGTTTAACTTTGCTTAAACTCTGATGTGATCATAGCTCATGTTTATCTATCTGAATATATATATATGTTCTGTTCTTATTACTTTCTGATGAATGCAACAACAAATTCATCTCTTGAGCTTATCTTTTCAAGAACACTTGATTTCAGATGCTTAGTCCAACTGATGCTTACCAGTCTCTCATGGCCTGCTGTAGAGAGTTAAGCCTTTTGTTATCAGCTTGGCAATTGATCCAGAAAATTTAAATGCTCATCAGTAACAATCCATCTTCAACATTCATAATGGGATTTAATCAAGTTAAAATGGATATCAATTGCAAAAAGTAAGTGTGAATAGAAGTAGAAACAATTGATAGTATCTGATTCTGTCATTATCTGTTCTGAAACTAGCCGTAAATTCTAATTAATTAGTTTGATTTTGTAGTAAATTTATTCTTGAAAAATGAAAAACAAAGGTTCAAACTCCTAAAATAAATCAAAGATCTTGCAAAAGTTCACTGAATTTTGTTTTGCTTCTGGTAGCAGGCAGTGATTTTTCTTGGAAAAGTAGAAATAATGTTATTTCTGCATAGCATCCAACTTTTCTTAGAATAGTAGAAATCTGCAGGCAGTGATTTTTCTGCAGAGCTAAAACAAAAAGGATATATTTCTTAGAAAAATCATAATTTTTCTTTTCACTTTCTTCGCATTTTCAATGATTTTTCTTTAGAACTCAAATAAAAAGGATATATTTCTTAGAAAAATCATTTTTTTTTCATTTTCCTGCCAAGCATCCAACTTTTCACTTTCTTCGCGTTTTCAGTATTTTTTTACGGAGCTCAAACAAAAATGTTTTTTCATTTTCCTGCTGAGCATCCAACTCTTCACTTTTCGGTATTTTTCCACGGAGCTCAAATAAAAAGGATAAATTTCTTAGAAAAATCATAATTCTTTTTATTTTTCCTGTCGAGCATCCAACTCTTCATTTTCTTCGCATTTTCATATGCGACAAAAGTGCTATAAATAATGTTCTTTTTCAAATAACTCTATCCAATTAAACTGATCAACTTTGGAACCATTGAATGCAACATTATACGTATAATGTAAGTCTCATCAAGTGTTGGTTGCTTAACTGTGATGATAAAATAAGTGCATGATTATGACAAGTTCGATCTTTGCGGGACAACTCCTGTATATATTTTTTAGCTTGTTAAGTACTGCAATAATAATCTCCTCTCTTCTGCATGTCAATCAATCATCAGCCATTTGAGCTCCACATGACTCTCTACTGCAACCCATGTGTTCATCATGTTCCTTCCTCGAGTCCCGCTCGTCTCTGTGTCTCTAATGGTTTGCTCTGCAGAACAACATTTCAGTGCAGCACAAGCATGTATCGTCCCAAGTACTTTATCTTCTTCCACCGGCAACCCTGAGAGTGACAAGAGTGCAGTATGTGGCTTTGGAGGCAGATGCAAGCCACAGCCGTGGGGATACCAAAGGCAGAACTATCCTTGTCAGCTTCACACCCCGTACATATTCCAGTCATCATCGATCTTTATTTCTTGTTCATCTTGCAGCTCATTTAGGCAATCCAATTCTGCAAGACATCTCACTGCTTTCCATAGTCAGGAGATATATTTCCAAGGAACAATGATCTTACAAATCTACTTACTCCCATTAAATGTCACCAACAATATTGGCATTCCCTCTTATCACCACAATGAATGTGTACTTTCTTGAGGAAGCAGAAACTAAACTACGTATCTTTCATGTGCCACTGTCCTTAGATATACTGCTACAGCTTTCTATGTAGCTTATTCTAATCCATCAACCAGAAACTAGTTTGCATTCAGATCATACCTCTCTCTCTC